TCTGCAAAAACAAACGCAAAAACAAGAACAACAAGCGCGCGCGCGCGCGCGCGTAACGTCGGTGCGCGGGCACGCGTGAAATAATAAATTCGGCCCAATTGTTTTCCCGTATCAATAAATATACTATCTGCGGATACGGCGCTTTTTTTCGCCCCGTTTGCGCCCGACGCAGTCGGGGCAAAGCGCGAAATGAATTGCACGCCGTGCCCGGTGATATCTCTGTGACCTGTGATGGTAGCGCCGCCGGCGTGGAATTGCTTTTTGCTCGATGGCCGATGCTCGCTTAATTCTTCGGAAGAATTCGCTCCGTGCCGTCGTTTGGTAGCTCTCGCTATTTGCCAGCTCCGCCATGATCCGCCGCGTCGTCAGAAGGCATCCTCATTTTGGCTTTCTCTTTGTCGTCGAGCTGATCAAACACGATTGCGAAAATGCCTTGCGCTACGTTCGTCGTCCTATCGAAAGCACCCTCCTCACTTATCGTCAGCTTTATTTCTATTAATAATTAAATCGCGCTCAACGGCTCAGCGTACGTAGCACGAAGAATTCGCGAAAAATAATGTAGAACTCGTGAACGCGCGCTGCCGCGCGTTGTCGTTATTATTGCGGTTATCAATAACGTAACGGTGAGCGTAATGTTATTTGTAGATAAAACAAGAGCCGATAGATGAAAACGCGATTTCGACGATGAAACTTTGCATTTTATTTTGTTACTCGAAATTTAAATCCAACACATCGCTGAGAGAGCGTGAACGAGAGCGAGTGCGAGAGCGAGAGAGAGAGAGAGAGAGAGAGAGAGAGAGAGAGAGAGAGAGAGAGAGAGAGAGAGAGTGAGAGAGAGAGAGAGAGAGAGGGAGGCAGAGGGAGAGAAAGAGCCGTACCACTTAAATGAAAAGAAAACTTACACACACCACGCGCGCACGTGTATATATTTCAAATATCTGCAGAATGATTGAATCGATTGTTATAGCTCTCGAAAGTTTTATCAGTGAAATATATCATCCCCGAGATCCGGCAATCATTCAAACTTCTGCACCAGCCGGAGGAACAATCGTGTATATATAACGGTGAGATTATTGTGAATAATTATAGATTTCTCGGCCGAGCGAAATAGCAGGAACACACGATCAGTCGATCAACGCGCGTCCTTTGTATTCTTTATAAGAGCCGTGAGCTTTCGCTGTGTTGCGCGATCGTAGCCGTCCCCACCTGGTCTTATCTCCGCTCCATTTCGTCGTTAGTGCACGGAAGCGCCATTCGCGCCGCTACTTTTTCGCATCCGCGGAAACTTCGTCCCGGAGCCTCTTTGCCTTCCGAACACGTCTTTCGTAACTCAGCAGAGGGGCCGCGACGTCGGTCTCCTGGAAAGGACTATTCACCAAGGTAGTCTCCTCCTCCTCCTTCGTGACCAGGAAAGAATTTGGTCCGCGTAAGCCATGGGAGACCATTCCCGGCCAAGCGTCTTTCCGGCACAGACTACATGCGCGTCAAACCGTATTCGGCTCTATTTCGTTCCGAAAGCAACTCGATAACGAAATTCTTCGCATTGTTGCCGCGAGAATATATATCGTGACCGCGACCGCAGCGGCGACAAAGATTATTTTCACGAACGCGGCGCGGCTCGATCACTGCAAAGTGTTGGCGATGTCGTAAACATTGTTCCATATCTCGTACGCTTCACCTGCGGGTGAAGCTCGCTCCCGTGTGCATGCGCGTGTAATCTTCGCACCGCGCGAATGTCAGCGCGGACATTTTCGCGAATCGTTGTATCGCGGTACGACCGAACAAATCCATGCAAGAAAATGTAACAACGGGATGTTCGTACAATACGGCGTAACTCGCGGTACGCGATGGTGCGTGTGCGTAATATGTAGAGAGGGCTATGAAAATAAATAATTTATTACGCGTGGAGCCATTGTTTCAGGTTGTCGAGCAATTTGAGGAATCGTCGTTGATTTATTATCTTTTATAGGGAGGAAGATAATTTAAACGATATATATATTAAGACGGAGCGAGTGTCCCGTTTTAGCCGATTAAGTGAAGTGGGTAGATGGGGGGGGGAGGGGAGGCCGGGTTAATGCATGAAAATCAAGTAAACTCGTTCTCGAGCGTGCGAGTAAAATATGCAACTCTATTGATATCATTACGATTGATTATTCATCACTTGATACGAGATTAATAATTGACGGTGCGATATCTATGCGTGCGATTGAATTTAACGTTGACTATTGGATCCAGGACAAATATAGATACATATTTTCAATTAACTTGAAACGCCGTTTAAGCCGATTAAGTTGAAGTACAAGCGGGCTTTTTGCTTGTTTACGATGTGACTGATGCGACTGTGTTTTTCTCATATTATTTAAGCACTTTATCCTCCCTTTTGACCTAGAAGAAACAGTTCATGCATTATTCCGCGTTTGGCTTCCAACTAGATACGTGTGCGGTATCCCTCTTTGTTGTAACACCGTGTGTTATCCAACTGTCTCTTATGCACGCTTAAGTGGAGACATTGACTAATTTAACCCGCGGGCATTGGCGTGTGAATAAATCTGTTTTACGTCAAGAACGTCGACCCGCTATTCTTGACTTGCCATGATATTTTTCCCGAAGCGTATATCTCGCGAATACGATATCTCATCCACCAGAATACACTCGTTTCACATTTGACGCGTTGCTTGAAATGAGAGAGGAAAAGAGAAAGGAGGTAGAGAGGGAGAGAGAGAGAGAGAGAGAGAGAGAGAGAGAGACAGAGAGAGAGAGAGAGAGAGAGAGGGAGAGAGAGAGAGAGAGAGAGAGAGAGGGAGAGGGAGAGAGAGAGGGAGAGGGAGAGGGAGAGGGAGAGACGAGAGTGAAAATTAAATCAATAACTTCAAGTTGGCACGAAGGAGCAGAAAGTATAATTTTTGCGTCATTAGCCGCAATAGAATCTGCGGATTAAAACTTGAATAAAGTTATATGAACCGTTTTCAACGGAATCATGGCGCATGAACGACGCGGTCTCTCCACAGTCAGTATCGAATAGCGCATAGCATACCTCGATCTTCCTGTTCACGTATTTCTACGGGAGCTTGCTGCACGAGTCACAGAATAGTTACAATAAATTTTTACTTGGTTTCGCTATTCAGCAATGCGACAGAGAGACTCATGTAACCACGGCTTTTAAAGTACATTCCAAATACGTTCACGTGATACTGTTGTACTTTGCTATTCCGGTGTTTAGCGAGAGATAATTCTCGGATAAGCGAACATATCAACAATAATATAATACCGTCAAAAGTGTCCGGCAAACTCGGAAAAAAATCTTTCCGCGAGACGCGAGATTTTCGCGTATGTTTTTGCTCATAACGAGGCGGGCAGCTCTCTAGGCTATTTTGTTGTATCTGCTAAAAAAAGAGAGAAAATCGAACGCGCGCGGACCCAATTAGCTGCTGCAATCTCCGTATATTTTTCTTCTTATTCTTCAAACAAAATGTTCCGGTGCAAAACAGCTCGATGATGAATTCAGATATTGCAGGGCGAGGAGAAACTAATTGATATTAAAAGCCACTGTCGTATCAGTACGGATCAGCTGGCATGTAAACAACGTGATAGTGACGCGCGTTACAGTGAGATGAAATATTTTGACGTTAATAAAGATCGTCCGAGTTTACGAATTACGTTATCGGAAACGCCGCTGCGTCAATTATGTATCCAGACACGTCCATTAAGATGCATCTCTTGTACTCACTTTGACATAGAAATTTAGGACGAAAATTGTTTATTCGCGTACGTGTGCGTAAATTAGAGGGTAACTCTGAACCACCCGGGGCCTGTCGCGAATTGTAAGCACCGACTAATCCAGCAATCATATCCGCCTGCCATTTACTGAGCGCGGATAAAGCGACGTGATGGATTCGATAACTTCGCATCCCGTATTAATTGCTGCCGCAACTTCACTTGGGTAATCCGCCTGCATCGTTCTCTTAACCAACTCAAATCCTGCGCGTTCTCGTTATCGGCGTATCACTTTGTAAAAGGGCTACACTTGCAACTTTTCCTCACGCTGTCTATAAAATGTATAATAGCTACGCGTGACGTGTGCGGCGAATCGTGTGTACGGAAATGCATGTCGCAAGCATGCGAATTGTACAGGCTAGTAATGTTATTCTTTACGCACGACCGTTTTAATTATCATAAATAGTATAAGCTACAATTATTTTACATAATATTCCCGACGGGGGTTTTACGGGGTCGATCGGTGGATACGCCTCACGCGAACTTCATCCGCCGACTTATATTCCCGCACTCGCGCGAGAGGCGAGTACGCGTCGTAAAAAAAAAAAAAAAAAAAAAAAGAGAAGAAAAAAAACAACTCCAATACCGCGCGTATCCTTCCGCGCAACACCTCATCTAGCCCCCTCCGGTCGCGATCTGCAACGAAGTGGCGCGCGGGTTACGACCCGTTAAAGTCACGCGCCGAAGAAGATCGCGTCGGCGAGAGAGCTCCTTGAGTGGAACAAAAAAGGGATGATCTCCCTGCGGTGCGGCGGGGAGGGTGCGTGCGCACACAAGAGCGGAAGCGCGGAAGAGTGGACGCGCGGACGTCCGGACGTGGGTGGCGGGCGGGAGTGCGATGCTGCGAAAATTCGAGCGGATTCGAGATCGGCAGGGTGAATCGAGATTTTACGAGCGGTTCTCGCCCTGCGAGCGAATGGCTCGTTCGGCCACGTACGTCGATGTCGGGACGTGTTCCCGCGGCGAGTGTGCGGTGTGCAACGCGCAGAATATTTGCGACAGGCGATAGCGGAGCATGATCGGCCAGCGAGATAGTCATCTATCTGACCGTACGAACTGCCGCCGCATACTCGCATAGCGTCGCCGCATAGCGTCCAGCTGGACGCGTTAGTGTGCGCGTTAGTGTGCGCGCGCGTGTACGCGTGTGTGTACGTGTTGGTGTACGCGTGAGCGCGCGCGCGCACCGTTTCTGGGACGTTCTCGTCGCAATGTGGTCATTGTTTCAGTGCCGCCGGATATCCTGGACTATCCCACCAGCACGGACATGGTGGTACGAGAGGGTAGCAACGTGACGCTACGGTGCGCGGCGACAGGAACACCGGAGCCGACGGTCACGTGGCGTCGCGAGGCGGGCGGCACGATCAGCCTGTCGAACTGGCACGAGGGTACGTACTCGTATCTGCGAGTTACTACGCGCCGCTTCGTCGTCGTCGCACGGATGTCGATTGTCGCGTTCCGTCGCAACGACCGCCAGATGCTGCCCCCGAGAGATAGAGAGTCCTACGTTTCGCATCTCCCCATTTCGCTTGATCCTCCGCGCGCATCTCCTTTCAACCCCGTGTCGTCGTTGCCTCGCATCGTATATTGGACCTCTAACCCGCTCCAAGAGCGGCTGCTGCGAGGCAGGCTTTTTCCCTCGCTCGTCCCGAAACAGAGTGACAGAAAGCCCGCCACCTCGTTTCGCGCTGATTGCGCGAGACGTTTATTGTGTTCCCGGCCGGATCGCTGAATGAGTTTTGATGGAAGACGCTGAATCGATACGAGTGAGCCTTTACTTGGACCCGACGCGGTCACCCGACGTCGGATTCGTCCCGGAAGCACCGTGGAAATTGTATTTGGTAATTTGACGGAACGCGCGCCACGGGCGACGTGGGCGAAATAAATTTGCTCGCTGGAGGTAGCCGGGGCAGAGTAAGCGAACCTTTTGCACTCGAGTTGCTTTCAACTTTCAGATTTACGGAAGTAACATCGCGGCTTTTCGGTTGAGTTTATTTTGTTATCTATTTGCGAGGCTAATTCTGACGGAGGGAAGTCAACAAAGTCGGCCAGTAAACCGGAGGAACTTTAGCTCTCTGTTTTTCATAATTCTTCATTATCTCGTTAATCACCACGCGCTCTCATCCTATCCCTCTCTCTCTCTGTTGACTCCTCCTCTTCGTCTTTATAGATGTGGAGTCTTTCTGGTTCAGATCGACGTTTCCTTATTTCTTCGACGATATAACATTCAACGGTAATTTACTTCTCGTGCCCCATGGACTCTCATAACCGTGAGAGAGAGAGAGAGAGAGAGAGAGAGAGAGAGAGAGAGAGAGAGAGAGAAGAGAGAGAGAGAGAGAGAGAGAGAGAGAGAGAGAGAGAGTTTAACGATTCGTTACACAAGACGATTTCTTTCTTGATCTTATTATCAGCCAACTACCGTTGGTGCGACGTCTATCGAAATAAAATCGCCGGGGATTTTTACAATACAAATTCATTTATTTAATCCATTTGTCGAGAAATTAATTTTCATTATAATTCCGAACGAATGTCTTTCTGTCGTTGCGCTATTCTCGAGTAAGGTTCAGCGGCAGTTCTAGCAATCAACATGTAATTTAATTCCTTAATTGTTGCAGAAAGAATGCGCGTCTCACGCGATGGTTCACGAGGGAATATTTTCTCGTCGTCGATGCGCAAAGATTCTTTTCGTGAAAAAAAGAAAAAGAAAAAAAAAAGAAAAAAAAAGAAAGAGACACGTCTGCACGTTAACGATTTTGTACTCTAGAGCACCATATGCGCGTGTATAAAACATTTTTGAAGCTTTTTACTCGACTGTCAGATTGAAACTAAAATAATAACGATATTTTCTGACTAAATTAAGTTCGTTCCATGTAGAGGGGAATCTCTATCTTCCAAAATCACTGACGCCCCAACAGGCTCGCCGTCCTGGCAATCCAATCACTCACACTCGCTTTCGGTTTCCGGCTTCATTCAATGACGTTCCCTGTTTTTCGCGCCGCTCGTGCCAGGATTGTTCAGATCTTTCGCTGACTAATTGCACAAGCAAGTGTCGGGGACATTCTCGATTGTACATCAGGCAGGTAGCTAAAGTACCGCTTTAGTTTCTCCCTTTCTCGGCTTCGCGGGCTCTTCTCCCAGTCCTCTCCCAGTCCCACCCGTCTCGACCCTCTCTCGCTTTTGCCCCTATTTCTGTCCCTTTTTCGCCGACTCGGTTCCGAGTTCCGTGCCACGGGAACACAGCGACGGCTTGCGGTGCGACGTACTCGTAAAGTATTTTCGTCCTTTCGTACGAGTCCGTGCCAAGGGGGCGTGAAGGGACGACGGAACTCGTCTCACGTGGTGCTGTCGCAAGACATCGCGCGCGCGCGGCGACCGTGCTTCCGGTGATTTATTCACCGGACGCAACTCTTATTTCCCGCGGCCGATTTTAAGGAATCGTTTTAAGCATTTGTCGCGTCTCGATGTCCCTCTATTCGTCTCCCCGTCTCTCGTGCAACCCCTCTCTCGTCTTCTATGGGAAGGTTCGCTCGCGATTCCATTAGGCGATAAGTACCGGAAAATAGAGTATTCCATCGCGCAGCTGTGCGCCATCGCTCTTAAGATTTTCGCATTCGACCCGCGCATTTCGTTTGACTCCCGGTGGTAGTCTCGGTGAGAATAAAAGAACTTCCTCTTCGTCCTTTTATTCTTATATGATAATCGGTACTAAGAGATTTCGCTTGTGCGGCGGGCGATAAAAGTTTGATGCGCGCATTTATCTCGAAAGTCTCAACAGGTGCGCGGATAGACACGCTCTCTAAATTTCTCGCGAGGGAATGTTATTGCACGGATGATACGAAGGGGTGAGAGCACGATTAGAGGTAATCGAAGCTGCTGGATGTGGATAATGAGCTATTCGATAATGGGCCGATGTAATGATTCCCGGACGATATTAAATCGTTATCAAATTATTAGAGCCAATATGTCATAATTCTCGATCGGCTGTTTATCCGCGAGTGTAAAATATCTTTTCACCTCCGAAGGGATGGGGACTGCAAAATCCATTGTTTTTCATTTATTCAAGAGTCTCGATTATTGCGTTTCGCTTTATATTGAAATTTGATCAAACCGCGACATTAGAATGGCTGTTAATGTCGCTTTGGTTTCATCTCTTTAATAACTTATGAATCCTTAATCAGGTGACGTTGATTTGACATAGATAGGCCGTTGATCGGTATGCGCGAAGAAGAGGTATGCAAATTACGTATTATAATCAGTCTGTAAATGAATATGCTAGATTGTCAATTTAACTCCGTCATTCGCGCATTCGTCACGCATAACCAATTGTAATTTTAATATACAGATCGATTAGCACGATTAATTGTATGACGACGAAATTAAGGAAATATACATTTTAATTAAACTTGAGATCAATTGTTTTACAATTTCAAGCTAGTCGACCGTGTTACAGTGCGTGAACGGGAATTATCGGAAAATATCAGAGGGCAAATATTAGTTTACGGCAGATAACATTGCAACTGGCATAATGAGCACTGCTCTCTTTATTTACTTTCGTACAATGTCAATATTTATATTACATTTAGTGCGTTTATTGTCAATTTCGCGACGAGGATAACATCGCGTCACGTTGTAACAGCAAATCGACGTTTCTTACTCATATTTATCTTTTTTTTTCCGTTGTTAATGGCTGCATCGCGAAATATTTTAATTGCTTTACCGCATTTCAGATGGAGAGAAGAAGAGAGGGTGAGAGGAATATTGTATAGTCTGTATGTACGCGCGCGCGCGCGCGCGCTACCTAAATTGCACTCTGGAATATTTTGCAGGATATGACGTATAAGTTTAAACACGTTTCACATTTCACGTTCTCGCCACTTGCTTACCACGTAATTATCGTGTGTGCGGTGTATTGTTTACATTACGCGATACGTGTTACATGTTACTCCCGTGTTACAGAAGGGACGTCAGGAAAATGAGGAGAAAATATGACAAGCAGTTCAAGCGTAGGAATTATTAGTCACTTGGGAGAATTAACGAAACTCTGACAGACAGATGAGAGCGAAACGCACGAAGGCTGTTTTCATCGTTGCTATAGCGCGCGTGTTATTCACAGGAAAATAACAATATTTTTCAACCGAGTCAAACACACAGATACGCATACGAGGCATTTAAATCGGCAGAGCTGTGCACCTGCCTTTGAGGGGAAAAAGTGAAATTCAAATAGCGAAACGTTTCGAGCGTGCTCTTGCTTTGATGCACTCGAGAATTATCGTTCTTCGATAAACGAATGCACTGTCTCGTCACTCTAGTGACGGCGGTAACTACAAAAGATCGAGCCGATGATAGATCACATGGTAGTGCACAACCGCGATTCTTCCATGCAGTCAAAAATTCTTTCAACCGCGAGGCAAACGATACACATCCCGGGGTATGCGAGTAAACAGATTCTCCCTTAACCGTGATCAAAAATCGTAACAGCATTCGATGTCTCTCCGTCAGCTTCACTGTGATGCAGATTTTTGTTATTTCTCTATTAATTTCTTCAGCTAATAAGGACAATCAGACGGATGATATCGGACCAAATAGAACTTGCGTAACCGATCTCTTCCGTAAGCTAATGTAGATGAAAATGATTTGTTAACCTCGTGTAAGTATAAACATTGATGTATTTTGAGCGGAGGAGAAAGCACGAATCTACGATTCGAGATCTGTTCGTTCCACGGGAAAATTAACGACGCGGCGTTAACACGCGCAATTGGTTAGATCGTGCCGTAGGATCGTCCCGTCAGGCTGCGAGCGAAGCATGCATAATAACAATGTACCGTAACCCGCGTTCCTACGTGCGCGAATTTGTATGTATAATGTCTGCATCTGTATAAACTGTTGCAGTGGCGAGTATCGAAGGCCCGGAGCTGGAAATAACACGCGTCACGCGTCTCCATATGGGACCGTATCTCTGCATAGCGTCCAACGGGGTGCCGCCGACAGTCAGCAAGCGGATCGTTCTCATTGTTCACTGTACGTAACTTCACTGTGCAATCCTAGATTTCGCTTTACGACCGGCGTGAAGGAGGGCTTCCATCAATGTGGCAAGCGGCGGAAGGCGGCGAAGTAAAATATTGACACGAATGGCTTTTCTATCGCGACGTGAGAGACGTATCGCCTCTGTTTATCCGCGAGTGTAAAATATCTTTTCACCTCCGAAGAGATGGGAACTCCAAAGGGATTGTCGCGTGAGATTATTGAGTGGAGATCAGCGTTCGTTACGATCGTTATTAATTAATTTGTGATATTCGATGCATTCTGCGAGAGGAACACCCAAGTGTGACATCGTACTATTGCGGTTTCTGTCCTGAAATGGACATTTTTAGCTCGCTGAAAAATTCAGTTACTCAATTTCCGAAACGTGCTTTATTTTTCACGAATATACGCTTGCTCGAAATATGCGAAATGCGCGAATGATATTTTATGCGGTTCCGTTCTATCGCGGATCCTTTCTTATCCACGCCGCGCCTGCCACAAAATATAATTTAAATTGTCGTACTCCCGCGCGTGGTGTGAGCGATCTCGCGTAATGACGCCTCTCGGGGTAGGCATGGTGAATAGCTGATCCCAAGGGCCATTGTTCCTCGAAACGGAGTTAAATCTTTCCCGTCGCTGGCCGCGTAATTTCACCGCGTGATGTCACGAGTCGCTTGCGACGAGAACGAGTGACGTTTCTGGATTGATTAAAAAATAAGAACCTTCGTTTCGAGCGAATCTCTTTTAGAAATGAACGGTGGAGCTCCCACGTAGGGCTTTGCATTAAACGTCAGATGCTGTATTCCGGGATGAGTTTGAAAAGGATTTCCTCTTATAATCAGACGAACGTCTGATTATATTCTATTCTTTTTTCGCATTTCTCAACCTCTCGGCTCGAAGCATCTTGCTAGATAACCCGCAAATTAAGATGCTGTTGAGTGAAGTTATATATAATAATAATAATCGGTTAGAAACTGCAGACACTGCAGTCTTTTCCTTTTTCTTTTCGTAACGTAGGATTAATCTATCGCAACTTTATATTTCAATATAAAAAATTCGCGAAAATATATCAGAAACACGTGTATTATAATTATACAAAATTTTGTACAAAGTAATTGATATCTCCCCCTCCTCCCCCTACAGCGATCAGTTGCGCGACATTTATTTTCAACGTTTCTATATTTAATCCATATATTTTATCAAGACGCGTCACTTTGCTCAGTTCAGCCCATGGTTTTCATCGAGAATCAGTTGGTGGGTGCTTACGAAGGGCAAACTCTTACGCTGGAGTGTCGTAGCGAAGCGTATCCGAGACCCATTACTTATTGGACGAAGCCATCAAACGAAACTATTGCCAACGGTGCGTAAATACTCCTATCTCTATTTTAGCAAAACTCTCTCTCTCTCTCTCTCTCTCTCTCTCTCTCTCTCTCTCTTTTCTTACCCTAATGATAAACTGAATTACCAAATACGGTACTGTGCAAGGATCGCCAAATGATACTCGCTTGTCTCGGTCGGGAAAGAGGGAAACAACGAAAGTTTCTCCGCTGACTTAAAATCATTATTACAAGTCGCTTGTCCGTTCTTTTTTCGCGTGCGCGCACTAGGAGGTGCACGGCGCGGCGCACGCACGAACAGCTGTAATGCGATTCGCCTTAATTACACCGCGCTAACGCGGTCGTTTCACTCTAATTGCTACCGTGCACCTTTGCGATACGCCACAGGGGTTAAGGGCAAGGGCAGCGGCATTAAAAGTTAAGACGTGTGCGTGCCGGCATATAGCGTCGCTAATCCGTGACAGCACCCTCCGTACAGGTAGGCTAAAATTTCTTCCGTAAAGTGTTATAATGGCACGGTACATTCGAATCAATTAAGAGCACGCGGCATTGTTTGTACACGGATACCGTTTCTTACCTACCGGCAACATTTTCTGCTCCTCTCTCTCTCTCTCTCTCTCTCTCTCTCTCTCTCTCTCTCTCTCTCTCTCTCTTTTCCTCTATCTATTTATTTGTCTATCTATATATTTCATTTAATTAATGTTTGATAAAAGTTGTCAGTGACTTGGCGAATAAACTCAATGTTGAAATTTTTGTCGGTCTGTCACGAAGGGAAAACGCACCCCCTTAAGCGCCCCTGCAAGAAAGTACGCAAATACGCGAACACTTTGTCTTGTATAAGTACATAGTACACTTCCCTTCATTTGTTTTCAACTGAGAAACGACCCCGTGAGATTCATGAGAATTCTTACGACGACGGGCGTTCTGCGGCTCATACATACGCTCATATATATACATACGTATATATGTATCGATATAAGTATCCTTCCTCATTGGCTGTTGATAGTAGTATTGTCTTTATTCGCCCAATGTTTTCGTTAGAACACAGCACAATTCTCATTAGTATTCGGAAGAGTTATATGAGAGTGCAGGGAAAAAACACTCGCGGAAAAGTACGTTACTCGCGATGACACAAAGCTTTCGCTCTGTCGAGCCGATTCGATTTTCAAATTAAATTCCTGCCGGCTAAATTAATAATACTTTGAAGAAATGATAAACCGGCTGAAACATCCAATCAACTATTTCTCATCAACTATATGTGTGGAAATATATATATATATATACACATGTATATATGATACATATATATGTATATACATACACTTATATATATATACATATATATACACACATGGGAATACATATGTGTGTACGTGTGTGTTTGTATACGTCCGTCCAATTTTGTTATTGAAAATATTCCGATAAGATGCGCATGTGACAAAACTCTTTTTTCAAGTCTACCGTGTTTATGCGCCTTTTGAGCAATGTTTATTCATAAAATCGCGCACATTTATATGATCGGCGACGCGGCGAGTAAACTTTCGCGAAATAGTGCAATATGATTGTGGCGGATAAAGCGCCACATACGCGAACAAGCGCCAGTAATTCTCTAATATTTCTGTGTTGACACGCGATTACTGTAGCCTCGAACTAATAATATGAAGATCGACATTTGTGCCGTTTTCCACATTTCAGAACAAAAACGACACTCACACCAATAACATGGCCTATACCTGCCACGCACACTTTACACCAGATTCCATGATGCTTAAGTAGCTTGAAACAAAGTTCGTACTGCCATGTGCATCGATCCGAAATTTTCCGTTATTCCGTCTGACACGAAAGCTCGTCTAATTAACGTTACAAACATTGCGCGCTGCGGTGAAAGGAATTAGTTTTTTTAACGAGAAACAAATACATCAATACGAAAAAAGCCGATTTTGCGAGTCGTATACTTTCGATTAAGAATTTTCCGAATTATTGACTCGTGTGGGAAGTACAAGTACGATTTTAATCTGTATAAATGTACGCGCTGTTTTGAGTTTCACTCAAGCTGTTTTTATTTCGGTACCCTCTTGCAATTTGGTGTTCGCTAATATATTTATTATGACAAATCGATATTTTATAAACCTTATACATGAAATACTATTCCATCATATCAATTAAAAATACCGATATCTTGCTTGACTGATATAATATTTATATTATGTGTGCATATGGATCTGCGGATTAATTATTTAATAATAATTATTTGATAGCTCTTTGTTAATTATTGATATAGTCAATCATAATTATTTGATATATGATATATATATATATATATATATATATATTAAAAGTAACATGCTGGAAAATATTTAACATTTACTATTTCCTGTAATAAAAGCGTTATGAAGATCATTGTAAAAATATCACTGAAATATCTAACTAAATGTTGTAAAGACAAATTGGAATTTTTATATTTCAAGCGAGAAGAAACTACTTTGTCAAGGATTTAATTTTATGTTCTCTCTTCTAGGGAATATAACGAGTAAGAACTTGAATTATTGCGAGCATTACAATTATCCCCCGTTGATTCCAAGTTTTTACCGGCTGTCGATAGATGAAAATTCCTCACGGGGATTGACAATTCCAATACCCAGGATCTGGATCGTAATTTCGCGAGCTTTTCCGAGATGGTGTGTCATCTCGATATATTTATCGTGCGTAATCTATGTGTCGATACTTTTGCACTTTTCAGACGAGAATTATAAAGTCGAATCAATCCCTAAAGGATACGAGATCACGATGAAGCTCGTCATAAGGTCCGTACGAGCACAAGATTTTGGATCCTTCCGATGCGTGGCAACAAATTCTCTCGGCGAGACTGATGGGAAGATAAAACTTTACAGTGAGTACAACATTGCAGACCTACTCGTCTTTTTAAATTATATTTATTACATAAAAATAAAATAGTGCTCTTTCGAATTGACATGACGCTTTGCATGTGCGAGATGTTGAGTGTAAAATCATTTTTGCGCCGAGACAATTGTTATTTTTCAAGTTGCTCTTCAACGGCTTTGTCACATTATCCATTTCATTCTATCGTATCGAAAACTGTACGCACTGCGCATACCTTATTTAATTTTCACAATCGGTATATTATTTCAATATTCATACCGCGATGCGATACGTAATTTCCTGATATTGAAAATTTACTGATAATTAAATTTCATCTCCCACATTTCGTTCTTTATATTTTTCTTCTTCCCGCATTCCTCGGCTGTTTTCCCTCAATAATGTTGATTCGCACGGAGAAAAAATTTTTGGTTACTTGTACGAACCGAATGAACGTACGAACAGTAAGAAATAATAAACGTTACAGTATTGTAATTTTACAATTTGCAAAAACTCAAAGTTGGCAAAATTTCCATTATTTTCGCATTATTTCCAACGGCATCACAGCGTGTGCATACGTGTGGATATAAAATTTAAATCAGTTTCATTTGTTGCTGCAACGTATGTGATACGAAACAATCTCATAGTTTAATTTGTTTCATGAAAATATATTGTACGAGTCGAAACTTATCGCGGCGAGTAACATTTTAAATATGCAAACAGATGACGGCACACGCAGCGAATGAAAAAAAAAAGGATCCGCTCCCATGCGATCCGTCTCTCGAATAACATGCGAATTAATTAAATAATACAGCACGTATATATTTTGATATGGCTGTTTCGGGGGCAGCGGAATATCCCGTTCCGGAATTAAACCGGCGGGCGTGATTCTTAAACGGATAACTTATCGGTTTATCGCCGATCGATATACCTCCTCGACGTAATTGCCCCAATCTCAGTGTACCAATGTGCCTCGTCCCTCGCTTCACGGCGCCATCGCTAGATTCCATCATCGTTCCGTGCATACGAATTTCCGAAGCCAAACATACTCCGTCTTCATCCTGCCGACCTGCGCAACTCCTGGCGATCGCCCCATCGTGCTGATGGGATAAAAAGAGAGGCAATCTCGCGGGACGTGAAAGATGTTGCTGCTCATTAGCTAACGACATTAGTAGCCTCGCCGTTTCTTCTCGTGCGACGAAGAACGCGACAGCCGCTCTCACGAGAACTTGCTGGCTTCTCGCAGGTGCACTCATTCCAAATAGCGAATAGCGCCGCGCGTCCAGGACTCATTGCGTCGTGTCACGTCATGTCATGTCACGTCATCTTCGTGTCACTACGTCAACTGTCCGTCGTCATTATATTTCATTTGGTCTCTCGCGCGAGATTCAAGTGGCAAGCACACCAAACCGCATAAAGCACGACCCGTCCGTTCCGTTCGACCTCGCTGATGTTAATTGATCGCCTCTCCAATTAGAGTGTCGACGCAGGGGTGGAGGGTAGGGACGAAGGGTAACGAGGAAGGATGGACGCGGTAAGGGAAACGCGGTCTCTGCTCAAAGAGAGAGTGGGAGAGAGAGAGAGAGGGGGGGAGAAGGGGAGGAGAGAGGCAGAAAGGGAGAGAAAGGTGGGAGGAAAGGCGATGTCTTTAACGAAAATCGCCGTTCATGATGATTGGATAAGGGAGAACGAACAGAAGGCGGGGGCGAGGGTGAGAGGCAAGTCGCGGGGAGCGCGCGCGAGGCACTTAATTACCGACAATTGCAAATAAAACGCCGGCTGCGGTCGAAGCGACGACAGGAAAGCCGTGAGACACGCCCGCACGCCTGTGCGACGTCACGAATTTCCATTCTCGCGAATCACTTCTCCAGTAATTAGCCCGGCGGGTTAATCCAACGGGTCGCGCCCCATTGAAATGCCGGTCGATCTATGCATGCCGCCCTGTCGCTTGTAGCTCGGAACTTTTTCCGGCACCGGCGGCACGGCGCACACGCTTAACAATATTAGCAATAATTACCGAGGGGGAACGAGCCGTGGATTATATGCTCCGCTGAAGTCGGTTAACTTCGATGGGAATCTTACTTGTGTTCGAAGCACGGAGGAGAAGCATGGAGGAGGCAAGGAGAGAGAGACGAGAACGGGGGGGAAGGACGAATTATCGACGGACGTGGCGGGCGAGCTAGCGAACGAGCGAGTCGCTTGTACCGGAGAGGAGAGGCGAGTTACGAGGGGGATGCTTTAAGAGCGGCTAAGAGTATAAGGAACTTTGTGCTCGAGTCGCTCGCGCCATCACGTCGGTCGTTCCGAGTCTGTACAATGACGTGCACGCACGGCATGCAAGTCTCTGCATGATGGCCTATATTCAAATTGCATTATATCGCCGGATGAGGGGAGAGTACGCGCGCGCGCGCTCGCTCACGCGCGAGAACCCGCTCGCGCGCGTATACATATAGAGATGTGACCGATAAATACGACGTGGTGGAAGGTATGGTCGTTAGTTCACTTTTGCTTCGCTCGCCAGCGAGTGTTCTTTGAGGGTTGGTTCTTTAAGGCGCAATTGGTCCGGTAGATCTGATCTCTCTCACGGCGCTCGGCACATTGGTACGCGGTGAAATAACTCACGGAGATTAATTGGCGATTCGTAACTCCTCATCAATCGCGACTCTCTCGCTGTCTAATTGGCGCGTTACAGTGAAGTTAGTCGTAGCGTTTAGTCGTAGCGTTTAGTTGTAGCGGGTTGAGTGTTATTATCTAAATAATTAGATCGAACCACCCACCAATACCACACACGAATACACGTGTGTCACGTGTGGTATTGGTGGAAACTACTTCTCCCTCACTTTATGCTTAATCGCGTCTACATAGTAGCAGTAGTAGTAGTAGTAGTAGGAGTAGTACGAATAATACAACTGCACCTCTCCTCACTCTTTACTTCCTCTATCTTCTCTCCCCTTGCCCTCCTTTTCCTCTTTTCTGATAACGCAGACGAAATTTTCTAAGGCGGAGTTATTATCTTCATGTTACTCGTAATTCTTTGCGAGAGACGGATGAAAAGATGAATGGAAAGAAGACAACTTGAATTATTTTACTTTCCACGCTTGATCATTGCTCACCCTCAGACACTATTAAGCGTGTTACCGTGAAATGGCAGGCATAGCCGGTAGTGAAGTGAATAGAATTGCGGTTCTTAGTGTAGAACACATTACCAACTAATTGCAGTGAGGTGGAAGAGCTCCGAGAGCATCTTAAACCACAGTCGCAATATTCATTACCGCGGACATAGCGAGCATCAAAGAAAATGATAGACAGCGCGCAGATAAATGTAGATTCGTAATTTAAGGCATTTCGGACCGGTAACCACCGTTTCGACGGTTACTCCGTGGATACATAAAGCTAGTCGCAATTCCGATATCTGGATGGGACGTGTGTAATAAGGGACGTGTGTATTAATTAATGTATTTATTAGATTGTTATTGCACCAAATTGTCAGGATACGCCGGCAGCATACATTTCGCATCTCTACTTCGGAACATGCAGCGCAGCGTATGCTTTCCCAGATTTGCAAGCAGTGCTATGGGTAAACATATACGCATTGACCTTGCACAAGTAAACACAATTGTCGTTTGCAGATTGAAATCAACGTTACATAAGCACTCCTGCACATCGAACGAAAGTTGATTATTGTTTCAAGTTCAGTCCGGACGCCAAGATGATACGCGCATAGAAATTTTTAAAAGTAACATTTACCCGACTGTGCTAACAATAATCGTATATCAGTGTGATAATCGTGCAATAATTATGTATTTAAATAAATGTGAAGCCGAAACTAAGAATTTTATTTTACATCGACGAGCACGAAATCAAATCATCTTTTTGATAGTCATAAAATTTGAATAATAAAAAGGACCGTTTAATTCATTATATGGCAGCGAGAGCAAGAGAGAGAGAGAGAGAGAGAGAGAGAGTCTCTTTCGATAGTGTTCAAACCTATCGAAAATATCTCTATTGAACGAGCATCAGCGCTCACCTTTGTCCGCGATCTCAATTGTCTCTGACTGTCACCTCGACATGTTGCACGGTCGGCGCGCTGTCATGCTGCGGATTAATTAGAAAAAGTGTACTACCTTCGTCTCGTACGTACGTAACGTCGATGCACACGCTAGAGAATTAATATCGCTCCTCCCGAACTCTCGACATTTCGACGGAGCGTGCAAGTGACAAGAGCTCTCTCGGTTTTGTGGAAACGCTCCGTTCGGACGACATTCCAATACGTCAAACCGGGAAGCGTCGTGCGGAAAGTCCGACCGCTTGGCCGATTATTTTTCCGGTTATTACTCGCGGACAGGCTTTACCGATATCTCGATTCGCCATTTACGCCCGTTCGTTTCGAACGCGATCCGACGTAAAGCGGCTTTCCCCGTTGCATACCGTGACGGATGTTCAATCTCCATTCTGATGATCACAGCCCGAATTCAGGCGTTTGCGTTTATCAGCGCGATCCCGCCGATTAACCGGCGAAAATCACGCTCATTTATGTTGCTGTCTTGGCCTGACAGGTTTCTGTTTAATAATAGAAGTTCGAATGCTCTTCCTTGATTGAAAATCAAAAGAAGCTCTTTTAACGGCGAAATTAAACGGCGAAAACGTGTAGACATCGTCGTGTACGTCTCGCCTTAATCTCGGCCGTAATGTGTTTCAACGCAATTCCAATACGAAGAGAGACTTTAGTTGCGAATGTTGCAATAGGAAATATCACTCAAAGAATGTCGCGTTCTCTTTTATCGCTCAAACAGTCTGTATACAAAAGCGAGAGTAATAGCTACGGAGTTTTGCGTAGAGAAAGAGGGGCAACGCACATTATTCTCTCTCAAGTCACTTACAGAAATCATAATATTTCCTAAGAACTAACTATTCTCTACTATTCTCTAGAACTATTTCCTAAGAACAAACACATTTAATGTGTGCGCGTGTGTTTCGTCTGCATATGCGTTGGCAGGTTTCTCTAATTCCGGTTACCGAATTTATTGTATCGACGCATTTTCAGGGATTGACAGGCCGCCAACGACGCGGAGGCCAGGCACGAGACGGGAATCGAAGAAGACGTGGAAGATCGATCATAGCCACGAGAAGAAGGCCGCCGGTATGAAGGACGAGCCGATGCTGAAGGGTGACGATAATGACGACGAGCAGATCGATTTTCAATCGGCTACGGCCTCGTCGGTCTTTCATTGGCATTTATTTACGAATCTCGGGATAACCGCCATAACCGCGATACTGACCGCCGGTTTGTCCACGTAGACACGGTCGGCGTCGCGATGCGTTCGCACGATTACGAAAACGAAAGCGACTAGCGTAACGTACGAAGAGCGTTTGCACATACGAGAGCGGACTTCGCGTATAGCAAAACGTCACAACGAAGGATTGCCGATAAGAATAACGCCGGCGCGCGCACACAGTGGGTCTTGCGGCAAAAAAAGTATCCGCAAAAAGTGTCTCTTCCTGTGTACGTGAAATTTGCATGAAGCGGCCGTAAAGCGACGAGAGCTGTTTTTATACTCGGAGACTCGGAGAGTTTCAAGTACCCGGAACTGATCGAGCCAAAGTGACCAGGGTGCTTCGTGTGAAGCGCAATTAACACATTGCAAGCTGAACGTGTACTAATAGACTTTCCTCTCTATCCAAAGACGTAGGAAGCCACCAATCTATTAAGCTCTTTGCACCGAAGGTGCCAGCGTAGCTGGCTTTTACCGTTTCCATTCTAAGCGGTAACTTTGTTGACCTCATAGTCACTTAACGCTGAAGAAGTAAGTTCGGTGGATCCAGGAAAAAGGGGATATATATATATTATTTGCGATCGCGCTTCTTTCCTTTTAAGCTGTTGAAATGGGTTATCGATGGCAGAATGGAACGGACATTTTCCAATCTGTTTAAATCGTATGCAAATAGATTCTCGATTTTTCATATGCACATGTACACACACACACAGACACACACACACACACACACACACATACATACGCATTGCGAGAACTCGACGAAATATAAAATATCCTCTATTGATTTGTAGAAAATTGGCTTTTTCATTTTCATTCCTTTCCTTTCTTTTCATCGGATAGACGCAAAGATAAAAGAATATATTGTAATTGCTTTTGTATTTCAAAGTATTAGCAAAACGTGCAGTGTTTGCAGTACGTAAATGGCACTTAAATGCATAAGGGCGCAAGGAATGAGAGAGTGATTGCAATGCGCGTATGCGCAACTGGATATTTAAATAACTATATTGTTTTGTAAAAGAACTGCAGATTGCTTTTCGAAAGCTGCAGTTTCTATGGTAACATATTCCAAATTTATTACGAATGCATTAGTTTATAAACACAAAAGATACTCAGATATTTTTTGCCGAATTTCAAAATGTTCATCAGACTTCTTGATATTTTCGTTTGTTAATCTTTCCTAACTACAACATGTGTAAATGTTAGAGAATGCTAAAGTTCGTTGTTTCACGTAGTGCATATCAATTAAGAGTAACAGACTGTTTTGTACATATACCCAACGAGAATAAAAAATCTTGAAAGGATATATTGAAATTTATTCATTTAAGGATGTAACGATAAAGAATGTAACGAATAAATGAATAATTTGGACGGTAGGCGCTTGCGAATTATAACGCCATTATGTTAAGTTATTGTTGCTTTATGAATCGATACATATTTATACGATATATTTACGATAAATTTCATCAATCTTGATTTCACGTACATTTCTTAGTTCCTCAGGCATAAATTACGTTGCTAAACCAAAAAAATGTGTTTCACCGAGAATATTTCTATCAGAAAGAGATTTATTTTGCTTAAATATGTCGCAATGACTCTCAGCTTCAGTTACAAAATGGATTTGCGATGTTACAATATAGATATTATTCCGGTGATCTACTCTGGTGTCTATAAAAGAGGCTTGATTTTAAGTGTTCTCCAAGGTGATAAAAATATGAATAGTTTTTATTACATTTGTGAACAATACAAAGGTGCAATATAATTACGCTTTATAAAATGTGCTGATGGGATAGCGTTATGAAAAATTTAGAGGAATATGTCTCACAGACGACGCATTCGTTTTATTACAGCATCATCAAAACAATAATTATAATATCACCGGATTCTTTTCGTGAACTCTGTTATTATTACTGCGGTTATTTCATTAGATATTTTAATGAAATAACCGCAGTAATATTTTATATTTAACCGAAGTAACATTTTATGATAATAAAAGATAAGTTTGTCATCGCGTCATCATTTAATAAGTTTTAGGTGATTAAGAAAAGTATAAATAAATATAAATAATATCATGTCCATAGTTATATATTTTCAACAGTTGTAATTATTATTTATTGCGAAAGTGTCCAGCTTGAAAGAAAAGAGTGGCCAAAATATTTATGCGCATTTTTTTATCGAAGTTGTTATATTAAAAAGAAGAGATAAATATCATGTTGCCGAAATGTCAAAAATTATTCTACTCGCTCCAGTCGCAGTTTTATTTCCCCGATTTGTGGAGACACGTGTTCTCAATTCTCGCGTTAAATTTTGCATATACGCCTCCAATTGTTAATCTACCTAAGGTAACTATCGCGTTTATGTTACAGGATGACAATAATTTCTCGAAAATGACTTCCGTCATTATAACGGAATGTTCAATAAAGTATTTTTAATTCGAATACCTCGAGACCATGCGTATAGTAAATAGATTTATTACGTATATTGTAAATACTAAAGTGACATACATCTCCGTAGGAAGTATTGATAACGAGCTCGCGAATTTGTTTCGTTCGTACGATATAATTTAGCGATTAATAGAGATCAGAATTTCGTGAGACTTCACTCTGAGAAACATTAACACGTATTGGAGAGCAACCAACCTGTCTTGTTGACGTATCAATTGTCGACGATGCAATTGTTTTCACATAAAATTTTGCTTAGTATAGTTTACAGATAGGACCTTTTTTACACCTTACGTATTCACTATTACGTATTCACGTCGTCAGGGCGGTTGATTCGTCTTCGCAGGTATATCGGACCACCCTAAGCTCATTGCGAAGCTATACGGATTTCTGAAGCTTATTGATTAGTATTCTGATAGATAAATAATGATCATGTAGTATATACATCAACGAACAGTGGGAATACCGTAACGTAGTGTTTCTTGAATTGTAGTCCGTAAACCCGTTAAAGGATTCGTAAATTTCTTACAAAACGAATCATCATATTAATAGCGCAGATGTTAATAAAAATTTTCATATATGTCATTTCATATATTTCAGGAATTAATACGCAAGATATTTTAGAATTACAGATGAAGACTTGACTGACTAAAATAAAACTCGAAAAGGAATAAGAGGATCTCGAATATAAGTCCGCAAATTGCATCATTTTCGAAATATCGGTTTATAGTCTTTCAGCTACGTTTTTTATATAATATTACACGTTGTGAACATTTATTTTAATTTTTTTAGTGATGTAATGACGCGATGCTATAGTTTGTTTAATTAAGATTCTCTTGCTTTCGTGCCTTCTACTGTATAGTTCAGTTTTTATTCATAATTCCGAAATATCTTGTGTACCTAAGTTTTGATGTACAATAAATCATGATTAATTTAACGAATAAACAATTACGACAAATATGACATAATTATAATTAATGTTTAAACGTTTAAGTTCGTACGTTCGTACGTGTGTATACCGATATTTTAAACAGGATATTTAAACAGGACTCGTTTTGAGATATAAACGCATTAAACATAGGTAATAGAGAATCTATAGAATGTGTTGTGTATTATAAATATTAACATTGCTTACAAAACGCGCGGAATATGCAATAGTTTTAATCGTCAATATATTAGCGATTTGAATTAGTCGTGCTTACGTTTCGTTCCTTCCTAATGATTTCTTTACTGTTACTTGTGTGTTCTGTCAAACAGCAGTAAGAAAATTGCAGATCTAGTCTGGATTTTTCGAACCTGTTAATTCGTAATGCCGCTTGCGTACATTTGTGATGACTCCAAATGCGCTGTGTACATATATGTAGACGTGTGATAACCGGAAAATAGTTGTACGGCGCCGCATTCGTTCAAATGCATAGAGCAATTGGTATTGTATAATAATAGTGTGTGTACGATATTGTAGAATAAGCCTCAGGGACGTGTATATACGTTAAGCTGTAAGTTATATTAGTTTTTGCATTCGTGGTCACGATATAACTCTTCCTTCCCTTGTAAATATAATGTACCTTATCGTGTACTTGGGCAATAAATGTTAGACAATCGTGATAATCTGTGGAAATTTTTACATTTTGCACTATAAACTCATTCCATTTTTTTTCATTAATCCTCGTACCTTTGCGACGATGGAATATTTGTTAAATTATAGACTGAACAAATACTACATATGAATAAAGATGTATCGTACAGGTATATTCAACGCTCTTGTTCAACGCTCATTTTCTTACGTATATTTCTGATGATCGATTTAAAGCTTATAATTCTTAAAGATTCTTTCCAGTGAGAAATTCATTCAATTTCATCCAAGGCTGTATTATCTTTCAATACGCGTTTATGTTTTTATTATTTCTCAAGTTAAAATTTCGTTGATATTGCAAAAAGAATAAAATTTTACTATCCAAGAGCGCTTCATACATCTTTGGTCAAAACTTTAATATAACAACAGATGGCAAAAAGAGAATTATATTATCCGTGTGAAATTTTTTGTAAATTACGACAAATTTGAATTATGTTTGTAGATACAAGATTTACAGCAGCAGAGAAAGTAACAATAACAAACGCAAATAATAGATATAAATAACTGCATTTGATTTCCACTTTATTAACGACCGATATTTCAGTACACCGACAAGCGGTAGCTTTAATAACACGAATTCTGAGGAGATGAAAATGGGTTCCTGAGTGCTGCTAGCGTTACCTCGTCAGTGGTGCTACGTTCTGTACCGACACGCAATAATTTTAGCTTACGAACCTTCCTCACAGAGGGCAAGTGCAGCTACTCTTTGCCCTTTCAATCGATTTGTTGCAGATTGACTGTATCTTCTTCAGAGAAAAAGCGAAATTAGGAGGGGATATCGATATACTATTTTAGACATTGTTTATGAAAGCAAGAATATTCTCTGGTAGAAAAATTCTCAACAGACGTGTAGTCAAAACAACAAAAATATCATTCATGTCTTTTACTCCCGTAAATATCTCATCTTTCTTAATAATCAATTTTCGCGCAAACGTATTTTTATATAAATTCATATTATATTCGAGACTCGCACACAAAACTCGATACTTTATATCGGATTTGTTGCGACCAAGTTCGGTAAAGATTAATTTCTTGATCTCAGACTTGAAGTACCTTGATTCGTAAAACGTGTTACAGTTGCCGAACACGCCACTGTAACTTCGAAATTTCCAGAGAGCGGAAGCGCGAGTTTTCAAAAGAGTACAGAGAGATACCCGAGGCTGCTAAAAGTCGACGCGTCATTGATAAAGCTATCTCGCGCGGTCTCGTATAAATATAAGTTATCGACATGTTGTAACGGCGGAAACCACTTGCACTGGATGGAGCGCTTCGGCTCTCTCATTCCGCTCTGTTACTACGTCCCTCGGTCTATTCCGAAGCCACGTAAAATTCGGGAGATCGACTGTAACGAAGGCCCGACGGTATAATAATGATATTCGGGAAAGAATTATTATAGAACTTGGCAGCGCACTTTGGAGTAACGAGGGGAAAAAGGGCCTTTCTCCATAAGCCAGCTCGTATATCATCGGCGCGAATCCCTTCGGACGGTTATAGAACGAGAGAGGCGGCGGTAACAAAGGCGCCTACGTCGAGCGATACTAGACGCTTTGTAAACAAACGAGTCTTCTAATATTAGACCGTGTAATAAGATATATATGCAAAAGGTATCTATGACTTCACTTGCCGTTTTATCGGAAGCCTATTATAAGCTTTAACGACTCGAAAATAACAAGCGCGCGCCAACATCTCCGAATATTTATAGCTATTGTGTGCTGTACAGCTGAGCTGCTACGTAAGGACATTGTCTGCTCGCCTATGTTATTCTGTCGCGTCGCTCGTTCGTTCTCCTGTCTTTCTGCCATTTTTATGAGTCAGAAAAGGAGATTATAACTTTTCCAATCCGTGTGTTTCTCCCTCCCCTCTCTTTTTCTTCATCTCTCTCTCTCTCTCTCTCTCTCTCGCTCTCAGCATTTTCAGCCAAGCACACGCTACATATTTTCGCATCTCCGCGGCACGTAAAATCAATATCGCATGTTGGTTATGATATCGGAAATTATAATTGATTCGCTGTGGGCATGCGGAACGCGCGGATTCGTCCGTAGATATGCAAAAACGAAGCTTTAATATGCGCGTACCTATATAAGTACGAATCCTCCCCGGCTTTAAAAATTACACATTGGTTTTCTCAATAGAGCGGACGTTGAACTGTCTCGGGTGCATTTTATTATGCGTCGCTACCTGGCAGAGATAACGCGCGACGATCTTGATTTTTGAACAACAATAGCACAAAATGCAGGTCGTTATAATATAATTTTCCGTTCGTCGCTCTATCAAAATGTGCGCTATTACGGGCGGTAACGCTTTATTCGGATTCGAATTGCCAGCAGCACGGTGCGATGCGCGGCGCAGACATCTCAGCTGCTCGCTGTTGCTTCAGGAAACACCGTCTAAATGCAAATGATAACAGGAAATGATAAGAATCTGTACCCGCTCATCCACTGTTCTATCTAGCACGCAGCGATTCCTCCGTCCGCGCGCAATTGTAAAGGAACATCCTTTAAACGTGTCCGACGTGTTATTCTTCGATAGTATTATCGCAAAACTCACACGGCCGGATCGTCCGTCGTGTCCATATTGCCGTGGGTACACAGAACTGCGGTATGAAGCGCTTGAAGGGGAAGAGAAGCTTTACACGAGTTGTTATTTTTACCGCCCACGATGTTTTCATATTTCGCCCAAGGTTCGCTAATTTTACCCCATGCGCTGCCGTCGTGCATTTTCCTATACGTCCACGCGTCCGTGACCACTCGCCGAGCAACTTCCGCACAACTTTTTAAGATCGGCTAATTAGGTAGTCTCCTTTTTTCTCTTTCGCTTTTTCTTCTTTTTTCACCC